TCTACCCACTTGGAGAATAGTTCGGTGACCAGGAAGAATCAGAGAGAAAGGTGTTCGGCCTGATTTGAAGCTCAAATCAGAGATTCACATACTGTAAGTTACCGCAGTTATTGTTGGGTTATTTTCTTTGCTTGGGAGGGCTGTTAAAGTACTCGAAACCTCTCTCCATTCTGCCCTACTATTCGACTGTTGCTGGACTGATTCAACTCAAAGATTTCTGGGTTATTTTGGGGAGCAATTCGGCTGTTGTTGGACTGTCAAGTTGCTGAAACTGGTTTGGACTCAGTGGTATTAGTCTCTAATTCAGCCCAGCCTTTTCTTGGACCTATACGAAATACTCTTGAAGTGGTTTCTACTAGTTATCAGTAGGGTGTTAACTACTGCACACAGAGTGATTGTTAAACGGCCTCTTAAGGACTGTGGACTGTTATTTCTTCTCTTTGGGACAACGGTTGTTGGGGACCTGGAATACTGTGTTCGGAGGTCTGCTGGTTGCTCCTTGAAGGCTGAAATAGTATTTCTTCTTCTAGAAAGAGCTGTGACCGAGCTTGGCTGTCACGGTTGTCAAGACTGAACTGATTTTGTGAGCTGTGTGGTGTTGCCGATTCAGCTCAAACCAAGTTCATCAAGAATCCCTGCACTTTGAGAAACTTATTAAAACCCTAATTGGAACTTTTTCATGATGGACTTCTCAGACCTTGAAAGCAAGAGTGCTGCTGAATATGGACAGACTTTGGGAACCCYAGTCGATTCTATGTTGGCTGTAACTACAGTTAAACTTGATTGGACCAACTACTTGGCATGGTCACAATCAGTGAAAATTCATATTTGTAGCAGAGGAAAATGGGGGTTTGTTTCTAGGAGCAAGAAAGCTCCCTCAAAGGACGATCCATCTTATGAGAGATGGATGCAAGAGAACTACACAGTGATTGGGTGGCTTGTGAATTCAATCCACGGATTAGTCAACACTATCTTTGGATGAACTCGGTTAAGGAAATCTGGGATAGTGTTACAGAAACCTACTCCCAGAAATTGAATGTTGCCAGAGCCTATAAACTGAGGAGTGATGTGAAGAATCTAAGACAGGGGGAGAAATCCCTTGCGGCATACTTCTCAACCCTGAAATCTTTATGGCAAGAGATTGATCTGATAGAGGTTGTAACATGGGATACCCCCAATGATGCTGAAACATACAGGAAATTAGTTG